CAAATTAATAAATAAATAAAAGTAAAAATATAGCCTCACTCAACACTATTGTTAATGAAGAACTCGCAAAAATAGCAACCTGATTGACTGTCAATAAACTTACACTGAATATAAATAAAACCTTTTACATTATGTTTGGGAGTAGAACAATTGAGGTTCAACTAAACATTATGCTTAACACCCTTACTGTTAAACATAATGAAGGAAAATTCCTGGGTCAGCACCTTGATAGCATCCTGAAATTCAACACCCATATCCAACACAGCAAAAAAAGTCTAAAACAGTTGGCATCCTCTCAAAGATACATTACTATGTACCACAAACAGCACTAACACTATACTATTTACTGATCTACAAATACCTCACCTATGCTATTTGTTGAAGATTGAGATGCTTATGCAACATATGGGAATGATTACCTCAAACTCCTACTCTCCTTACCCCTCTCTGCTTTGTATTGGACTAATGAAGCCACTGTGTGGCGAAACGTTTCCTTAATAAAGATTCCCATATGTTACATAAGCGCCTCAATCTTCAACTTGTTGGTTTTCAAAACCATTTATCATATATGCTATTCATGCCTGGGGTTCCACAACGAAAAACCACCTAAAATCAATAACAACAACAAAAAGCCGCAGTGCGAATGATCACACAATCCACTGCTAATCAACCCCCCCCCCCCATTCTTCAAAGACCTAACCATACTCACTAAACAAAACATTCACTTGTTCTATTGTGCAACCTACATTTACAGAACAATCAATTCTAATATAAATCCTGACCTGAAACACTTTCTTGACAATTGCTATAGGACTCCAAGACACAATACTAGGCATAAACACTTCAATGACATTCCCCATGTCAGGCTAAATCTTTTCATAAACTCATTGTACGTAAAAGGTCGCAAAATCTGGATCTCCTTGCCAGAAATCTCCAGAACCACTGGCTCAGCTAGCATTTTTAAAACTGCAGATAACAAACACCTTACCTCCCAGCCTATCATAAATACATATGTAAAAACTATACATGCATTTGCTCAATATCATAAACAACTACTGGATCACTACGACAAGGTCCTAAATGCACTAGAAGACAAAAAGAATGCAGATGTAATATATACAGACTTTGCAAAAGCCTTCGACAAGTGTGACCATGGCGTAATAGCGCACAAAATGCGCGCTAAAGGAATAACAGGAAAAGTCGGTCGATGGATCTATAATTTCCTCACTAACAGAACACAGAGAGTAGTCGTCAACAGAGTAAAGTCCGAGGCAGCTACGGTGAAAAGCTCTGTTCCACAAGGCACAGTACTAGCTCCCATCTTGTTCCTCATCCTCATATCCGACATAGACAAGGATGTCAGCCACAGCACCGTGTCTTCCTTTGCAGATGACACCCGAATCTGCATGACAGTGTCTTCCATTGCAGACACTGCAAGGCTCCAGGCGGACATCAACCAAATCTTTCAGTGGGCTGCAGAAAACAATATGAAGTTCAACGATGAGAAATTTCAATTACTCAGATATGGTAAACATGAGGAAATTAAATCTTCATCAGAGTACAAAACAAATTCTGGCCACAAAATAGAGCGAAACACCAACGTCAAAGACCTGGGAGTGATTATGTCGGAGGATCTCACCTTCAAGGACCATAACATTGTATCAATCGCATCTGCTAGAAAAATGACAGGATGGATAATGAGAACCTTCAAAACTAGGGAGGCCAAGCCCATGATGACACTCTTCAGGTCACTTGTTCTATCTAGGCTGGAATATTGCTGCACTCTAACAGCACCTTTCAAGGCAGGTGAAATTGCCGACCTAGAAAATGTACAGAGAACTTTCACGGCGCGCATAACGGAGATAAAACACCTCAATTACTGGGAGCGCTTGAGTTTCTAAACCTGTATTCCCTGGAACGCAGGAGGGAGAGATACATGATTATATACACCTGGAAAATCCTAGAGGGACTAGTACCGAACTTGCACACGAAAATCACTCACTACGAAAGCAAAAGACTTGGCAGACGATGCACCATCCCCCCAATGAAAAGCAGGGGTGTCACTAGCACGTTAAGAGACCATACAATAAGTGTCAGGGGCCCGAGACTGTTCAACTGCCTCCCAGCACACATAAGGGGGATTACCAACAGACCCCTGGCAGTCTTCAAGCTGGCACTGGACAAGCACCTAAAGTCAGTTCCTGATCAGCCGGGCTGTGGCTCGTACGTTGGTTTGCGTGCAGCCAGCAGCAACAGCCTGGTTGATCAGGCGCTGATCCACCAGGAGGCCTGGTCACAGACCGGGCCGCGGGGGCATTGACCCCCGAAACTCTCTCCAGGTAAACTCCAGGTAAGTAAAACTTTCTCATCAGTATATACTTACTCTCAATACATATCTGTATTCATCTCAAATGTTAATCACTCCATTGTGTCCACCTAAGGTTAATAATCAAAACTGTAAGTCTTCTCTACAAGACTTATTAATAAAGTCATATAGCATTACCTAATAGAATACTCAGTTCTCTTGTATTCATTGTAACTCATCTAATGACCATACGTACTGTCATTGCCTTATTAATCTTAAGTTAATTTTAAGTTTCCCCGAAATACTCTGCATATAAAGGGGCTTTAGGTATGTTCAGCCAATTGTTACACTCCTTTCTACAAACATGTATCATGCTAAAATAAAATTATTATTATTATTATTATTATTATTATTATTAATTATTTGGCTCGAGTCGGACCAAGTTGGCCCACACCCAGGAACATAGCATACCCACAAGAGTTGACCTACACCAAGAAACATAGCATACCCATAAGAGTTGAGCCACACCCAGGAACAATACCCACAAGAGTTGAGCCACACCCAGGAACAATACCCACAAGAGTTGAGCCACACCCAGGAACAATACCAACAAGAGTTGACCCACACCCAGGAACATAGTATACCCACAAGAGTTGACCCACACCCAGGAACAATACCCACAAGAGTTGACCCACACCCAGGAACATAGTAGACCCACAAGAGTTGACCCACATCCAGGAACAATACCCACAAGAGTTGACCCACACCCAGGAACACAGTATACCAACAAGAGCTGACCAACACCCAGGAACAATACCCACAAGAATTGACCCACACCCAGGAACATAGTATACCCACAAGAGTTGACCCACACCCAGGAACATAATATACCCACAAGAGTTGACCCACTCCCAGGAATATAGTATACCCACAAGAGTTGACCCACACCCAGGAACATAGTATACCCACAAGAGTTGACCCACACCCAGGAACAATACCCACAAGAGTTGACCCACACCCAGGAACATAGTAGACCCACAAGAGTTGACCCACATCCAGGAACAATACCCACAAGAGTTGACCCACACCCAGGAACACAGTATACCAACAAGAGCTGACCAACACCCAGGAACAATACCCACAAGAATTGACCCACACCCAGGAACATAGTATACCCACAAGAGTTGACCCACACCCAGGAACATAGTATACCCACAAGAGTTGACCCACTCCCAGGAATATAGTATACCCACAAGAGTTGACCCACACCCAGGAACATAGTATACCCACAAGAGTTGACCCACACCCAGGAACATAGTATACCCACAAGAGTTGACCCACACCCAGGAACATAGTATACTCACAAGAGTTGCCCCACACCCAGGAACAATACCCACAAAAATTGACCCACATCCAGGAACATAGTATACCCACAAGAGTTGACCCACACCCAGGAACATAGTAAACCCACAAGAGTTGACCCACACCCAGGAACACAGCATACCCACAAGAGTTGACCCACACCCAGGAACAATACCCACAAGAGTTGACCCACACCCAGGAACAATACCCACAAGAATTGACCCACACTCAGGAACATAGTATACTCACAAGAGTTGACCCACACCCAGGAAAATAGTATACCCACAAGATTTAGATTTTGATTTTTTTTAGATTTTGCCACCGAAGTGGCTAGTTTATTGTGCACCCCATATCCATCCTGTGGACGGTAGCGAGAGAGCATATGGATACACAAAAGGCCTAGGAACTAGGCCCCAAAGAGAGTTGACCCACACCCAGAACAATACCCACAAGAGTTGACCCACACCCAGAACAATACCCACAAGAGTTGACCCACACCCAGAACAATACCCACAAGAGTTGACCCATACCCAGGAACACAGTATACCAACAAGTGTTGGCCCACAGCCAGGAACAATACCCACAAGAGTTGACCCACACCCAGGAACATAGTATACCCACAAGAGTTGACCCACACCCAGGAACAATACCCACAAGAGTTGACCCACACCCAGGAACAATACCCACAAGAATTGACCCACACCCAGGAACAATACCCACAAGAATTGACCCACACTCAGGAACATAGTATACCCACAAGAGTGACCCACACCCAGGAACAATACCCACAAGAGTTGACCCACACCCAGGAACGTAGTATACCCACAAGAGTTGACTCACACCCAGGAACAATACCCACAAGAGTTGATCCACACCCAGGAACATAGTATACCCACAAGAGTTGACCCACACCCAGGAACAATACCCACAAGAATTGACCCACACCCAGGAACAATACCCACAAGAATTGACCCACACTCAGGAACATAGTATACCCACAAGAGTGACCCACACCCAGGAACAATACCCACAAGAGTTGGCCCACACCCAGGAACATAGTATACCCACAAGAGTTGACCCACACCCAGGAACATAGTATACCCACAAGAGTTGACCCACACCAAGAACAATACCCACAAGAGTTGGCCCACACCCAGAACAATACCCAGAAGAGTTGTCCCACACCCAGGAACACTGTTTATTGCTATGTGAAAAAAAAATGTTCAATGTCTTCAAATTTTTAAATAAAGTGATGTGCTCTACAATATATTCAGTAATAATGTATACATCTAACATAAAAATCTCTTGTTCACATTGTGAATAATTCACATACTCAATATTCTTGGTGAGAATTGGAGGATTAGCTCTGGTGAATTTCTGAATTGTTTCCAGCCTTGGTTGTAGCAGATCAAGTCTGGTCCTCAAGGCTGTCCGAAATTCTATTCCTCCTTGCATAGCTTCCACGGTCCTGTTGGCAGAATATTTTTATTATAACATCTTGTTTGAATATCTATGGGCATTTCAATTTTACTAATTATTATTTAATTTAGGATGAGAGTTAAATATGAGTGAGGTATTCAGTGCAAGGACTGGTGGAGACTCGGTCCTTCGTCCGCTAAGCACAAGAAATTAAAATAAAGATAACTAATAGAGAATGTGTGTGTGTCGAGAGAAAGAGAGTCAGACAAGACAAAGTGGGTATGTCTGGGCATTAGAGAAGGCAACCGAAATGAGGCTATCGATTTCTTTGATGAATGGGACAATCCATCAAAATGTAATGCATTAACCTGACAATACTTTAACAGAGTGGTGCATAATGCTTTCACAACCTAGTCTTAATTTAAGTCTACCTGAAATGCCCTTCAAAATTATGGAACTACTTAATCTATACTATACACTAACTGCAAACTATGATATCTATGTACCGTACATTTAAAAATAATGTTTTGTTATTATTATTACTGCAACTTTTACACAGACATTAAGTGGTATTCAAGCAGTGATAAAATACATTGTATTATATTTATTGGGAACCCCTAAGCAAGGTTAACCCAATAAAGTCAGTGTGACTTACTTTCAACCGGATACTGCATTTATTCTGTATAAACGTTAATCACGTAAAATATAAAACTATGTGCATAAATCCATCATTTCTCTCTGCTTAGTATTATTGTACATTATGTAACGGATAAAAAAAAACTATCGAGGTAAGACTGTCTGCCTGGTCACCTATTCAGTTACTGATTAGACTTAACAGTGCTTAACCTTACTTATCAATACTGTTACTATAATTGTTAATATTATTAGTACTGTCTTGTGTATAACTGTAATATAATAATAGTACTGACATACTGATTAAGTAATACACAACATCCACAATGACTAATAACAAAATTAAGACCCTTACAATAACTGAAAAATTCCATGTGATATGACAATCATACCGAGATCAAGTCTTCCTTAATGATGATGTTACAGTAATGCAAATGTAAAATTACTTAAAAAAAAAAAAACTTACAATTTCTTAACAGCAGCAGCTTTACCACAAAAACTAGCCAGCTGGTCAGGCCTTCATCCACAATGACAGTGGAGTCGACATCAAAACACACAGCATCTGCCGACCTCCATATTTCACGACACTCTTCCTTGGAAGGTAGTCTGTGCACTGAAAGGAAAATATATGTAAATTTATTTAGGTATAGGTACACATAAGTATAGTATTACGCACACAGGTGATGACTGGCCTGTTGACTTGGTTGTAATGTGTTTGGAGCGAAAATAAACACAGCAGTAGTAGTATTTAACTTGTATTTTCCTTCACCAATTATATAAATTATGTACACTTTATATAAATTATGTACACATTATATACAAGAATGGAATATACGTGTACCACACGGTGATAGAGGCAAAGACAGCAGCCTGAGAGAGAGAACCAAGCGTCACCCAGCTAGAGGCGAGTCTGGCAAATGTTGACCACGAGTGACACGTGTGTGTATGTGTGTGCGCGTGCGCTAGTATTGTGACCAGACTTACCTGGAGTTCATTACCTTTGTAAATTGTGAGTTCATTACCTTTGTAAATTGTGAGTTCATTACCTTTGTAAATTGTGAGTTCATTACCTCTGTAACTTGCTCAGCTATCAAGACTTTGGAGTCCAGTCCCTGGACCAATTATGTACCTCTGTAATCTTTTGACTACCGCCCACAGGATGGGTATGGGGTGCATAATAAACATATTAAACTAAAAACTAACGTGCGCTAGTGTGAGTGTATGACCCACTTAATGTTTGTATTTATAACTCATTACAATTGTGACCAGGTGTGGACGTATCAGTGGTTCATTACTTTGCAATTTCATGACTGTAACCATGTATAGGAGTGAGGCTAATTCATTACCTTTGTAACTTGCCATGATTGTGACCAGATCTACCTGGAGTTCATTACCTTTGTAACTACTTCAGCTATCATAACTTTGGGGTCCAGTCCCTGGACCCATTATGTACCTCTGTAATCTTTTGACTACCGCCCACAGGATGGGTATGGGGTGCATAATAAACATAAACTAACGAGTGACACCACAACGTCTCAGCACTTGGCCTAAAATAAACCAAAACAGTCAAAGTGACTTATTTCTGTTGGGGTTCTTATATCTTATGATTGTCAATAAAAAAAAGAAATGTTTGTATTTACAGAGATCATGTTTACAACCTGGCTGAGATTGGAAAAATAATCACTATTCATCTGCTAAAACCTAAACCTTGACAATTATTCGATATTCAAGTTTAAGATTAAATTACTCGAGCCAGAACATAGTGTCACCAGAAAACTCGCACACCAAACTATCCCATTAAATGACACAAATCAGATGATTGTGTCACCAACAAACTCTAACACCAAACTCAGTACGAAAATAGACTTTTACATAAGCCACAAAAAATATAAAAATGCATCTTATAATCCTTATCTAAATACCTGTATTAATATTAATTATTTCTTAAGTACCGTACTAGTTCAGACTGCCCAAAATGTTTCGCATTACAACACAATAGATATCTACCCACTACCAGGATACACAGCAATCCACAACTGCAGACCATACCAAGTTGGGGGTGGTATTGCAATCTATTACTCCAACCAACTATCTTGTATTACCACCACTTACTTTAGTGATGAATATGGGGAATACATTTTTGCTAATTTTACTGTAAAAAAAAACTTAAGACGCCTATAACAATCGGTGCCATTTACCGGATACCCCACACAAACATCCCAAATTTCAGTGAGAAATTAAAGGCACTAATAACAAACAGACAAATGAACAAGCACCACCTTCTCTTAGCTGGAGACTTCAATATCAACCTTGGCCTACTAGATGATCAGCCTGTAACTTGATTTCATCAACAATATGAACAACACACTTCTCATACCAACAATAACAAAACCAACCAGGCTCACTGAGACAAGTGCAACCATAATAGACCACATATGGATCAATGTACTAGCCCCCCTTAAATCAGGGATAATCACAGACAGCAATACAGACCATTACCCAACCTTCCTCTTAACAAGCATTAGTAAACCACCACTGGAATACTACAAAGTTTCATTTAGACTCCATGACGAGGCCTCAATAAGGAAGTTCACAGCAGACCTAGAGACTGTTGATTGGCCTACAGAATTCTCCAAGGCCAATGGTATTGACGATTGGACAGACATTTTTCTTAACAAATTACTTAGACTATACAACAAACATTGTCCTATAAAAACGAAACAGATCACGAATAAACGGCTCGGTTGCCCATGGCTAACCAGCACCATTCTGAAATCCATTGATAAGAAACACCAATATGAAAAGCAATATAGACAAGGCTTAATACACAAAGATACTCTTAAACACTATTCATCAGTTCTCACCAAAGTAATAAAGAAAGCCAAACAAATGTACTACTCCAGCAGATTCACTGACACAAGAGGAGATATAAAAAAGACCTGGAAAACACTCTCTCAGATTCTGGGCACCCACAAACTGAAAAAAAAAAACAAGAATATTGTCCTAACTAAACCTAACGAAACACCACTGCATCCCACTGACACAGCTAACAAGATAAACGACTTCTTCTCAACCATAGGATCTAATCTTGCCAGTAAAATCCCACGTACCAACGCCCGTGCCGGGGACTATATAGATGGGAATTTCTCAAATTCCTTCTATCTTGTACCAACTGAGCCCACCGAAGTCACTGAGATTATAAAATCACTTAAAAATAAATCAGGGAACCTGTCTCATGTCCCACCATTATTGTACAAGCGAGCGGCCCATGTCCTTTCGCATGCTATTTCATTACTTTTTAACATGTCACTAGAAACTAGCACCTTCCCGAAACTACTCAAGACAGCAAGAGTTACACCAATAAATAAAGGTGGTGACCCTACAGATGTAAACAACTATAGGCCATTATCAAACTTACCATTGCTATCCAAAATCTTCAAGAAACTCGTGCACAGGAGACTATATTCATATATAATGGCACAAAACATACTTAACCCCTGCCAATTTGGTTTCAGGAAAAATAAAAGCACTAATGATGCAATTGTAAAAATGCTAGATCTGCTTTACACAGCATTGGGAAATAAGGAATATCCACTAGGAATTTTTATTGACCTAAGAAAAGCTTTTGACACAGTAGACCACGGCATACTACTCCACAAACTTGACCATTATGGTATAAGAGGCCATGCGCTTGCATATTTCAAATCGTACCTTACTAATAGATATCAGTATGTCACCATTAAAGACACAGCATCATCAACACGGCCACTTAATAATGGAGTTCCACAGGGAAGTGTCCTTGGACCCCTGCTCTTCCTCATTTACATCAATGATCTTCCAAACGTATCCCAACAGCTGAAACCCATTCTCTTTGCTTACGACACGACTTATGTCATCTCTCACCCTAATCTTGCCACCCTCAACACCATTGTTAATGAGGAGCTGCTCAAAATATCAACTTGGATGACAGCCAATAAACTTACACTTAACAGACAAAACCTACTATATTATGTTTGGTAGCAGAGCAGGTGCTGCACAACTAAACATTAAGATTGACAGCACTCTAATTGCCAGATATAATGAGGGCAAATTCCTAGGCTTATACCTCGACAACAACCTGAATTTCAGCACCCATATCCAACACACATCAAAGAAAGTATCCAAAACAGTTGGGATCCTCTCCAAGATACGATACTACGTGCCGCCAAATGCCCTTCTCACATTATACCATTCACTCATTTATCCATACCTCACCTATGCTATTTGTGCTTGGGGTTCAACTGCAGCAATACACCTAAAACCAATAATAACAACAAAAAGCCGCAGTAAGAATAATCACTAAATCCCATCCCTGGCAACCCCCCCCCCCCACTCTTCATAGATCTAAACTTACTCCCTGTTCAGAACATCCACACTTACTACTGTGCAATCTATATCTACAGGACCTTAAATTCCAATATTAACCTTGACCTAAAATGCTTTCTTGATAGTTGTGACAGAACCCACAAGCATAACACCAGGCACAAACATCTCTACGACATTCCCCGTGTCCAACTAAACCTTTACAAAAAGTCAATGTATGTCAAAGGCCCTAAAATCTGGAACACCCTACCTGAAAACTCTAGAACTGCAGACACATTCATCACCTTCAAAACTACCGTTAGAAAACATCTTATCTCCCTGATACACCCCGTCAACTAACTACAAAAAAAACACCTGGTGGTTCACACTTTCAATCACTCATTTGACTATAAGCACAGAAATACGTATCTTAATCTTAAAATAATGATTCCTAACTAGTCACAAGTTTGCCTGTGATACTCCAATATAGAAACTATGTATTGTGCCAAAACAAAAGCATTCACATTGCTAAACTCACAAACTAGTATTTAGTCACTTAGTATTTAGTCAGTATTTAGTCACTTAGTATTAGTCAACTTACTCCACAATTTGTAATAATTTAGGGTTAAGAATTAATCTAAGTTTGCCCGAAATGCCTAGCCTTGCTAGGTGTTCTAGTGGCCCCCTCTGTAATTAGTATTTTATTACATGTAAACCACACAATAACCAAAATCTGTAAACCCCGCATTGTAATCCTTACAGAGAATAAACTTTGATTTGATTTGATAATGTTTATATAAAATTAAAGATGTAATTCCAGAGGTGAATCAATACCACGTAGCTCTTTCAAATAAAATCTGACTTCACACCCTTTTTTTTTTATTGTGGCGGTTTATTGAGCCACCACAGTATTTAAGTTTTTATTTACGCCTCATAACTTGAAACTTTTACATTGGTTTTATGTCAAATAAACTCACACTCTGAGCGTCCAGAAATAACTTTTTCAATAAATTGCTATTGAATTTTATACACAAGTTCACATTTCGTCGTGGGGGGGGGGGGGTAGGAAGACGGCGTCATCCCGCCATAATCTTTAAGGAAAATAAGAATTCAGGTTTTTTTTTTTTTAGTGTGCGAAATCTGGATGATAGATCGCGATGTGGGATATTTCCCTCCGAGCCTAAGGAGGGTCCATTGTTTTAGGAATAGTTTATCTTTATTATGCATCCCATACCCATCCTGTGAGTGGTAGTCACATATTTTAGGGAAAGG